TGTCCCCGTGGTGATCCCCTCAGGGCTGGAAATGCCGTGGGGTGAGAGCAGTGGGGTGGGCACAGCGGTGAGCAGGCAGTCCTGGGGGTCGGAAGCACCGCTGCTCGCAGTCGATGGCTTCTGTTAGCGGTGTTCCGAATAAATGACAAAATATAAAATAATTGTAGGACTTTTATAGAATTTGGGGGTTTTTTTCAAGTTAACTTTTTTTAAGGAAAATAAGAAAAGAAAGCATACAGAAGAAGTGGAGAAAGTGTCAGAAGACCAGAGCTCACCTGTCATACAAGAACCTCCTACAAAAGCAAAGAAAGCCAGAAAGAAGGAACTTTCAAAAGCAGAGAAAAAATTGGCAAACAGGTGAGTAGATGATACTTTTTTACAGTAACATTAAAAAGCAGCATCTAGATTAATCATACCATTATGAGTTCAGTGAGGCAATAAAGTTCTTATCCTACTATTTGTCTTAAACTTTGTGTTCAAGAAGATTATCTTTAAGAAGATTGTGAAGATTCTCTGTAGTGTGCCCCAGAAATTCTGCGTCTGTGAATCGCAAATCCCTTGTGAGAGAGGTAACAGGTCTAGAGGCTGTAGATTTAGACAAAAGGTTCTCTCTGGCATGGGGTGATGCTTTTTAACTGTAGCTGCCTTTATCCAGCAGACCCGCCGTCAGAGGAGCAGAGGCAGTTTCATCAGGAGCAAGGTACCAGGTGGAGTTAGTTGTCCTTATCACACTCGTTCTGCTGTGACACAGAACTCCTCTGGTACGCTGTCCATTCCCTTAAATAGGCAGGGTTAAACCAAAACGCTGTCAGTGCAGGCAGGAAGCTAGTCTCTGCGCAATTAAGTTTGGATAATGAGGTTTCCTTGATTGTAACTTGAGGCTAACACCATGTCCTTTCTCTGGCACTTGCCTTGTTGCGTCTTCCATGCCCATGGAACTTTTGTTTGCTTTTTCGGTGTCCGTAGCCTTCCAGAGGTTTCTTCAGTTCTGCTTAATGTTCATGCTGTTATGGCAAGTTTGGATAGATAGAGATTTGTTAGTGTACGGATGGATCCCAAAGGATTGTCTGTTTTGAGTGCCCTGGATACCCGGAAGAATTAAATCTCTCTTTTGTTCTAGCATGCAAAGGCAAATTTCTCCCCCCCCCTTCAATTTTAGAGGATATCAAATGATTTACTGCTCAATTCTTTCTTTATTACACCTACTTAATAGTGAATGCAATGTCCTTGGGACAGCAAATAGCTTTCCATGTTACAGAATATGTTTGTTTAATGCATAATAAGCAAAATAATGTTTGAAATTTTATGTTTGAATTTAATTTAAAATATAAGTTAAAATATTTATCTTGGAGGCTTCAGTTCTTTGACCTTGAGAGCCCTGGGTTTTTTCCCCCATCAATTGTAATTTGCTTGTCTTTTTCTGATAAGAGAGAGCGCTTTGGAGCAGGCAGACGAAGAAGAGGAGCAAAAACTGCTTCAAAACAAAGCAAAGCAAAAAAAGGGGGCTTCTCATGCCATCACCAAAAGTGTCATTAATTCAGATACAGGCATTACTGTAAAACAACAAAAGAAAAGAAAAGAGGCTGATGACACAGTAAACAGAAGAACAGTGTTTGTTGGAAACTTGCCTGTCAACTGTACTGTTCAGGTATGTGAGTGGATTCTATCAGCTAAAGGAATGAAAAGAATTACAACAGTCCTTAGTTTGAGAGGAGGTTTCCAGCTGAGAAGTCACACGTATTTGTGACTAAAATTGCTTTTTGAGAAAGTGGGAACTAACGCTCATTATCAGAAACCATTAGAAGCAATCTCTTGTTTTACCGGAGTTAGGCCTTTTACAGCAGTGGCTGCAGTTGCTCGCTCTTTAGTACAATTGGTTAGTTTCTTTTTCAGTGAAAAATGACTTAATAAATGAGAACTACAGTTACAAAACTAGAGACTGCTTCTAATTTTGAATGCAAATAGTACGTCAGATTGTTGCATAAAACATGTTAAATTTATACTTTCTTCCATAGTAAGGAATACGAATTCAGTTTTGCAAATCTAAAATAAGAAGCTACCACAAGAAACACAGAAACAGTTACAAATTACTTGCCTATTTTTAGTAGCCCTTTAACAAACCTTGTATAAATAAAACAAAAATAGTGTAAAAACAATCTTACTAATAAATATTCAACATTAATTGTTATTACCAGATGCAAAAATGTATTGAATAACTGTAATATCTTCTGTTTAGGTGTTGAAATCTCTTTTTAAAGAGTATGGACAAATAAAATCCATTCGATTACGGTCTTTGGTAGGTTATTTCCTCTAATGTTCTATAACAAAATTATGTTTCTGATCTTAAAGGGTAGTATTCATTAGTTCAGAAGTGGGTTTGGATATGTATTTTTGCCATTAGAAGAATCCTTGGAGGTTTTACTGCAGAGCCACCACAGATGCATCTTTCCTTTCGTCACATTTTATTCTCCCTGTAGCAGCAGTTCATGCCATCAGAGCTGTATTTTTTTCTGTAAGAAGAATGTTTTTATTATTGCTCATTTAGCTAGGGTATTACTTACCTGTTTTAAATCTTGGTAACAAAGACACATCAATTGTAAAGCAGTGTATACTCTGTAAAATAGTTGGACATTACAGTCTTGGAACTCAAGAAACGCAACAGATGAAGTCAAAGCAAGCTCTCTAATTCTGAGGTCTGTCTGGATCATCTCTAGGAATAGACAGTTACATCATTTACTCACGGTACTGGCTGCATTGCTTTTGGTGGGAATGGGACCTGTTTGAATTCCTCTTTGTCTTCAAAAAACAAATACTTGAGATAAATTGACAGTAGGCCTACTTCACTAAAGTTCTTTTTATCTTAAAGGTTCCAGCAGAAGACACTTTATCCAAAAAGTTAGCAGCAATAAAGTAGGTTTCTCTTGTGAATTTTGTGCTTTATTTTTCAAGACAAAAAGAATTTTTAAGTGTTGGTTGTTATATATTTGGCTATATTAATTTTTAAATTTTGTGTTTCTTTGACTTCTGCAATTACCTTTGTGTGTATGTGAGTTTTCTTGTAAGTGAAAAAAATTATTTGTGCCCAGTATACTAGTAAGTAATTCGTTATCTTAGGTTGCATTCCCTGTATTTTTAGGGAGGCAGAAGACAGTAATAGTCTTTAATTCCTCTGGATATATTTAAGAGTTGATCAGGGTGCATACACAGACTGTATAAGATGTACAGTGGGACTCCCTTGGACTTAGGGCGCTAGCTTGACCTTTAAGAGAAATGAAGTTGTTACTGTGCACAAAACAAGAGGAGGCATAAATGTGTTTAACAGTAAGTGCTTGTGGACTGAACACTGTCAGAATTATTTAAACAATACAAATCTTTTTCACATTCTAGACATAAGGTGCACCCTAATGCGAAGTTCATTAACGCTTACGTTGTATTTAAAGAAGAATGTGATGCAATTAAGGCGCTAAAGGAGTAAGTCTCAGTTTTGTTCCTTATTCCCTAGTGAAGAGATAGATTTACAGTGTTAACAGATAAATTTAAACTACCTCCTCTCTTTTGCTTGAATCAGAAAAAAATGTTTTTTCTAACTTAAAAGTAAATTTGCTTTTGGAATAATGCTATGCAGTGACATTGTAAATTAAGTAACAATTCATTCTGGTTTTAAAACTTTTTGCTTTTGGCTACAAAAGAAATGGAACAGAAATTGCTAGTGGATTTCACATCAGGGTTGACATTGCATCAAAAGCCAGTTCAGTAAGTAAGATGGGTGACTAGAAATCACCTTTTCTGGTTGTGGGTTTGTTTTGGTTTTTTTTGTTTGGGTTGTTGGGTTTATTTCTGTAACAAATATCTTAGTCTTGCATCTCTTCTTTTCTTTAGCATGACAATAAACGATCTGTATTCTTGGGAAATCTCTCATATGGTAAGTCTAAAATGGATTGTTAAACGTCATTACTTAACATTTATAGAATGTGTTGACATTAGCAGTTTTTTATTTATTGATATTTAGGGTAGCATGCTTAGGTAGCTAAATGTCTTTTGCTGGAATTAATTTTTTAAATAGCAGGTTTGGTTTTTAACTGAGACACCTAAATGGGTTGTAAATTTCTGACAAGTTCTGCAGATTAATTGTTTTCTTTATTGTAGGTAGAACTGCAAGCACTTGTAGTTCTTGTTGTCACCTGATGTTTGTTAAATATGACTAAACTGCATAGGCCATAGCTTTCTAAACTGTTAAATGTGTACTGGTGCCTGTTTGTGAACTACTTCCAAGTGATACACAGTGATGGCTTCTCATTTTGGTGCTGTGAGTGACTCTGTCCAGGCTGCTATTGGCAATCCATTGTTACCCCTGTGGAGGTGCTTACTGTACAGTTCAGGTCAGCGCTTGATGAATGTTCAGCTGCTTCTGAGTAGGCTGGACAGTAGATGAAGGGATCACCATCAGGCGTGGTCCAGATGAAGGGTATTAAGGGAGTTGGGTGCTTGGGACGAGCATCTCACTTGGGGGTGGAGCGGATGTGTAAACACACAGGATGAAGGCATGCCTGGCACCTGTGGCCTGACGTGCTGCTCACAGTAATGCTGACACACACAGGCTTCAGCCTAAAACTTGACCTGTCTGAAAATCTGCATAGGTGACGAGTCTGATTGTGGTGACATTACTAATGGCTGTTGTGTAGAGCTTGTGCCAGTACTGTGTGTTCCTCTGTGCATCCTGCAGAAAAAATGGTTTGGACATTTGCAGTGCTCTGAAAATTACTTCAGCAGCTTGAACCTCTGTCAGCATACCTAACTCCCATTGCTGTAACTAAACCTGTACTATTAAATTCAGTCCCCCCTTATCACAGGTACAATTTTATCTGTGTAAAGGCATTTACCATAATATAAAGCATACCTACGCAGAAAAGAGAATAACCTGTATTTTTTGTGTCAGTACATCACAATTGTCTGTTCGCATAGGCGTGGGACTGACAAAGCCTCACACATTCAGCCATTATCAGACTAATCGTGTAGCAGCTGTGGTGGGAAACTGTAAATCCCTTCTCCCCCATTCAGCTAAAATTCAGGGTTCGGTCAATGAGTATTAGACCTCAAGAACTGCCAACTCAAGCTCATTATCATCAGCATTAATTCTTAGAAACACATTCTGGCATAAGAAGGAGCTACAAAAATGTGGCATGAATCTTAATTTCTGTGTTCAAACCATAAATGAAATTATTTGAAAAATTTATTTTGATCTTTATTTTCATTCTCCTTTGTCACTTACATTGTACTCTTCAAAGCTAGAGAATCAGTAACTGTCAAAGCAAATAGCCCTTTATAAAGTCTACATTGTTAACTTGATGGAATTTTTCTGAACCACTGATATTTGTGTACCTAAATATATATATAAATATATGTATTTAAATATATATGTTTGTGTACCTGAATTGGTAAATTTAACGTAGTTGGATTTGGGCCAGGCTTCTAAAGCTGTGGCATCTGTTTCATTGTACTTGCCTGCAGACATCAGTGACGATGCTGTGCGAGAACACTTTTCTGTCTGTGGAGGTGTAGTCGCAGTGCGAATTGTGAGAGACAGACAGACCGGCTTGGGTAAAGGCTTCGGCTATGTTCTCTTTGAGGTACGTACGAATGGCGTGCTTCAGGACAGTGGGAGGTCTTCAGAATTGGAATTGGGATTCGCCTTTATGGCCTTTAAAAAGAATTTTTTTTAGTAATTTGTTTTTATTTGTGTGTGACATTAAGCGGTAGCATTGTTGTGTATGTTAAAAGCAGCTTGGAAGACCAGTTTTGTGGAAGCAGACGCAAAGCAAACTATTGTAGTGTGTGTACAAAGAAAAGTTAAAAAAACATTGAGGTGAAAGAAATTAACTTTAAGGGAAAGGCTTAAAGGAGGGACAGACGAGTTCGCTGGGTATAACTGCAATGTTCTCCCATTTCTTAAGTCTCAAAATATGAGTGGAATTCTTTCCTGCAGCCGGTTTGCTTACTGGCTCTCTGTTTTGGATTCAGTACAGCTCGCTTTCTCATGGCAGTCTCCCAGCCTCATCTTCCTAAGTTTATTTCCTGCAGCCCAATACCTTTTTTCCCCCAGTTTCTCCTTCCTCTCTCTGCCTCTGTCCTTCGCATCTGGCGTAAGCTGTTCCATAACCCATTTTCAAGTATCTATGCCTCGGTGCACGGACTGTGTGGGTGTGCTGGCGTTTCTGAGCAGAGACGTTGTCTCATTCAATAAATAGAGCGGTTTGCGCGCTCTTTATTGTAAAATCTTGCTTACAAGAATTAAAGGCAACTATCAATTTGAAAGCAGAAGTAATGCTGCTTTTAAGCAGAACGTCTGTTCTTGTAGAATACGGATGCTGTACATCTTGCTCTGAAACTCAACGACTCTGTTCTGATGGGAAGGAAGATACGAGTGAAGCGCTGCGGAGAGAAGTGGAAAGCCCCGCAGAAAAGTCCGAGTCAGTCTCGTGCTCCTAGGGACAGAGTTGATACCACGTTAAAAACCAAGACGTGCTCTAAGGATTCATTTGTTGGTGAAAAAGCAATCCCGTTAAAGAGCACTAAACCAAAAAGATCAAAAACTATTCCTAGAAAGAAAACTGGGAAAAACAAACAGCCTATTCCTGGAAACAAAGCTGTGAAAAACAAAGTGTTTTGATAAAAATCAAATGTATAAAAGCGTTCATTGTTGTTATAAAGATTGATGTGTACAGGCGTGTTCTGTCGCGAATTGTGTTTGCTAACAGAGCCGCAGTCGTTACTGTTCACGCTGGGGTTTCTGGCTTCTCCCCAAGGCAGAACGAGGTGCGTGCCCGCACGCTGTCGCGGTACCGGCGCCGTGTGATTCGGTTGCGGTGCTGCGGGACGCACCTCCCTGGTGCTGACGTCCTGCTGCTGACGGCAACTGCATCCTTTCCTTCGGAGTTGTTTGGGTGGACTTGCTCTAAGTGACTACAGAAGCAGCGGCTGCTGCGCAGGCTACGTGATGATACGCAGCTCATTGCGTAGATGATGTTGGGGTTTGGTTTTTTTTAAAACTGTTAAGCTTCAGTTTACCAGAGTTTGTCCTTCCCGGCCGGGAACGGCTGGTGCCGGGGCAGCGGCGCTGCGGCTGGGCTGACCGACCTTTCCCGACCTTGCAGCCG